GATACTTAGGACCCTTAGCGTCTAAATAGATTCTAACGTTAACTAATGCATAATCTTTAAATAGACTATGCTGGGTGGAAAGCAAAAGCTTCATATGGTTGCTCTCTGTCTTTTATGCAATATAGTTGCTGGAAGATATATTTCAGTATGGGCCTTTATAAAGGACAATGTGTTAGCTGCACCATGATTCTTATGCATGTTTTCCACTATGGGTGCTTTCTGAGTAGTGTCCACAGTAACTATAGCCTGGCCAACACACAAATGAAGTGTGACACATCTCCTTTTTTATTTCATAATCTCAGTTCATTCAGCTGTCAGTAAGCATAACCTCCATTTAACTTAGATGTGGAAGCTGCAATGAAAATATAGACAAAAGTTAACTACTCCAGTCCAATCTCGAATTATTACTAAATTGTGCATTAAAATTAAAAAACACAAAGAAAAAAAGAAACTTTTGGTTATTCAAGCTAATTTCGACTGAGGCCCTCAGGACTGTAAGTGGGCATGTAACTCAGTTTGTTCTCCACTGCACATCTTCAGCTAGCTTCTGTGCTAACTTCTGTCCGTGAGACCTTTGCACTGTAGAAAACTTTAGTAGTGACTTCCTCAGCAACTTTCCCAGAGCTTAATTCATACTTTTCTTGGAATGAAGAGAGATATTCTCATCTCTTACTAAACCTAAAGACAACAGCCAAGAAATCAGATTTCAAAATGTCTTATGGGTATTCAAGTCCTGCCGTCTTGAATAAAACAAAAATTAGAAGAAAAAGTACTGATAAAAATGATGAATATGTTTTTCTTGGGGTATAATTTGATATTTTTATATATGTATAAAATAGAACAAGATTAAGTTAGGCTATGTAATGTATTTATTATTTGACTACCTCTCATTTTTTATAAGAATGTTAAGGTCTCTAACCTAATTTAGCAATATGTTTTTATTAACTGTGCCATGCAATAAACCACTCGAACTTATTCCTCTTGTCTAAAATTTTCATATCCTTTGTCAAATCTTGTCATTTTAAATTACCAATTACTTGAAGATGGGGCCTCAAGCTTCTCATTTCATTTATTGTACTAATGCTTACTTTATTAAAACAGAATATGAATCTGAGTTCAAATGACATACTCAGAAAAATTGAGCAACTAGAAGAAATACAAAACTGATTCCATTTTTTCTATATAGTCTTCCTTGGCTGCTCATTTTTCCAGATAATACAAATTCAGAATTACTTAATCATGTTTAAAGTCACGTTTTATTTTATTACATCAAAATCTTTACTTTCCACAGATACAATGTATATTTTAAACATGTGAATTTTTTCACCTACTCTATTTGCTTGGATTTTACATTCATTCTGATCAACTGGTCAATTTCAATTCCCCTTTTTGTTCTCTCTAAATTTGAGGCATGTCTTCATATTTGGGATCTAAAAATTACAGGTAGAGGCAAAGTAATAAACAGAATGCCCTTCTGTTCAGCTGTCTTCAGCAAAAGTGGCGTGACCTCAGAAGCAGTACGCTGACATATCTCACCTCCTGCTGACCTCTGCGCACGGCTGAGAAAACAGTTTTCTATCATACTGCCTATAACACGGGGCTCATGGAATTCTAAAGGGCTTTAGCTTATGAACATTTTTGTCTACACTCAAGTTAACATTTTTCATTCTTCTGTGAATTAAAATTATAATAATATGGTTGTTCCCTAAAATGGAAAATACCACAGCTACTGATAGTGGGATGGAGTTGAAATTATGTTCCTGAGATTGCCAGCGGGTTTGGTGAACTATTTTCTTCTCTATCTCTTCCCCTTTTAAAGGAAGATACAGTTTTCCTCCTACTGCAGAAGTATCAGATCCCTGCACATCCGTGACACTTGTAAGCATTCAGTGGTCAGACACCACTACATAGCCTTCAAATGATGTGGCCCAGTGAAGCTGGGAGGTCTTGTCACGGAGCCAGGCAGCTTGGTATCTTAGCCATCCACCAGGACAGAGCCAGCAGGTCCCAGCTGGTGTGCTGATTCTAGGCTAAGGAGGGATTTGGACGAAGATTTTGTCTTCGAAAGTGAACTCCCCTGACATTGAATCCTAGGGCATACTTACATACAACAGTGTGTTGCACATGCCAGAAATTACTTACCAGATTTAATGCACAAAGCTTATCTGCCAAATTGCTTTTAGGAAAAGTTTAATCTTAAATTTATTATCCTTTTTGGCTTTCTGATTTATCCTAAATTATATATATATATATATATATATATATATATATATATATATATATATTTAATGTAAAAGGCAGTCTCAAGAGTTTAACTATGTCATCTGAATTCTTGACTGTGTAGAATATGCACTAATGAATATAGTTATAGGTCATTCAGAAACGACAAAAATCTCACACAGTGGACTGTTTCTCACCAGTACCCTTTTGGCATACCTGCCCCTCACAGTGAGCTTGTCATTTTGATTTTTAGACATATGACACACACCTAAGACAGCACATTTTCTATTTTGTGCTCGTTGTTGAAGTATGAGAGGTTTGCATTGCTGCTTCTGGTGTAGACATCTTTTGACAGCACGACACACAAACTCATCTCCCACAGCTATTCAGAAATTACAGGATTTGTTACAAGTTCAAGAGTTCTTATTCCTCCTGTCGACCTAAACTTAACAGTAGTGCTGCCCAAACAAATGCAGTTAATTTGTTGTATTCCTTCACATTTCTGTTGCTTCAGACTAGTAGAAACATGATTAAAAAAATCCAAACATCTGCTCTCTTAAGGTTCCCTGGAGTGCTCCCCATGACCCAAGCATCTATCTGAATGGGGACTATGCTTTGGCAGATTTTCAAGTCATGCCCTTTTGTCATGTATGACTTGAAAGTTTATGCTAGTCTCTGCGGCCTGTCATCTGAGACCGGGATGCCCAGTCATGAAAAGCGGGGATACCATACCTCATGTCCAAGAACAGAGAGGAGCCCTTTGCTAGGGCTCATTTGGAAGGGTTTTAGAAGTGGAGCTAATCAAACATGGTTGTCAGTTTCCGCAGTCTTCTCATCTGCGGCACTGTACCAAAGCATCATTTCCCTCTCCCTTTGGATATGAAATGCTGTGCACAGCATGGCAGGCAGCATCAACAGTTCCCAAACTTGTCTGTGACTCACTCCTGCTAGGCACATGGATAAACTGGAAGAGCAGACTCTGCTCCCAGTCCCTCTCAACCACCAATTGTCAGTTCCCTCTTCTCAGGGACGGGTGTTAGCAGCAAAGCTCAGTGCACTACCCTGAACTGGCTAGCTTTGCTCTCTTTTACAAAATGAGAAGGAAAGGCTTTGTGGAGGATAGAAAAGTTGGCTTGACCATGGGATGCCCGTCGTTGGAGCTAACAACAGGGATAGACAATGCCTTTATGAGTTCCAGTCTAGGAAGAGAGCAGAGCTCAGTCACAGAAGAGAACCAAAACAAACAGTAAAACCTTGCAGGAAGACTATGAGGTTCTTTTGCTGGCACAGCCTGGGAGTCCCTCCTGGTCCAAAGCAGAAAAGAGGAAGTTCGGTTGACACCACAGGCTCCTTCCTCCTCATTGAACAAGACCACCTTGAGGTGCCAAACAAAATCTGACTGACAAGTGTATCCAGAGTTGCTTTTCCAAAGTGCTCAGGCCTTTGGGCCCCTCCTACTTGTTCCATTTCAATCCTAGTCTGCAATTCTGTTTCCTGTCCTAAAGAGTTGGGAACCTGGGCATTCAAGCGCTCAGGGATGCTGTTAGGCCAGGTCCCTGTTACTTCTCCTGACACCCTGAAATCAACTTTCCCCACGCCAACTGAATTGTTTGAGATGGTTTTTCCGTGTGCAGGAGCCTCCCGCCCAGCCCACCCAGTTCTCCCCTCCTTCCTGCCCCCTCCCCTCCCTCCGGCCTCTCCAGCTCCCCACATCCCACCCCGCCTTCCTCTTTGTTGTCTCCTACCTGCTGGCCAGGCTCTGCCTGCAGTGCTGCCTGAAGGGCATCAGGTGGTAGTTCATGGCGTCCAGCAGCAGCTTCTGGCAGACCGGGTCGGTGCGCATGAAATCCACGGACTGGACCCGCTCCACCAGCTCCGGGGCGGGGATGAGCGCGAAGCGGAGGCGCTTCATGAGGTCGGGCGCATACTGCATTCGGGTCTCACGGTCGTGCTCCAGCCACAGCACGGACATCTGGAAAAGCGCCAGCTCCGACTCCACGGGGGGCGGCAGCGAGTCCAGCAGGGCACGCATCTCCTCGAAGTTAAGCAACAGCACATCCTCCACCAGGTACTTGTTGGCCAGCTTCTTGGTTTCCTCCAGGCCGTGCAGTGCGGCAATCTTGCACACCTGCTTGTAGTTCTGCACCGAGATCTGGTCGTTGAGGAACTGAACGCAGAGCTTGGTGACCTGAGGGATGTGCAGGATCTTGCTGACGGACAGCACTTCCTCCACGGTGTCCAAGGAGAGGGTCACGTTGGCCGTGTAGAGGTATTCAAGCACTAGGCGCAGCCCGATGGACGAGCAGCCCTGCAGCACTAGGTTGTTAATGGCTCGGGGACTGGTCAGCAGCTTGTCGTCGGGGGAGGAGGAAGGAGTCCCGGGCTCCTCCTGTGGCGGCGGCTGCTGCTGCTGTGGAGGCTGCTGCTGTGGCTGCTGCTGTTGCTGCTGCTGGTCCTTGGGGGCCCCCAAGCCGTCCTGGCCGCCGACCCCTCCCCCGAGAGGGGGGTGGCTGGAGAAGAGTGATCGGAAGTACTGCGAACAGGAGGCCAGCACGGCCTTGTGGCAGTGGAACTGCTGGCCCTGGGCTGTCAGGGTCACGTCGCAAAATAGCTGCTTCCTCCACAGCAGGTTGAGGCCGTGCAGCAGGTTGTCACTGTGGCTGGGGTCGAAGGTGGAGGTCCTGTCACCGGATCTGGACATGGCGAGCTGACTCCGGGCACCTGGCTTTAAACCCTCCTCCAACCTGGCAGACAGGGGTGGGGGTTGGGAGGGGGAGCAGGGTGGAGTAGGGGTGTGGGGTGTGGCCGGGATGGGGAAGGGTGTGAAGGGGAGAGAGGAACAACAATCAAGGCTCCGCTTGGCTCTCCCTGTGCGTGCGCTCAGGACCCGACCCTAAGAGGAAGGTGTGAAGGCGCGGGATCCTGAGCGCCTCCAGAAGGGTCCTTCTTTGGGGTCGGGACGCCGGTTCTGCTCCCCGCTACCTCTTACACACTTCGCCCCCTCACTTTCCTAAAAGCACCCAGGCTCCTCTCTTGGCAGCGACAACGGTGACAGCAGCGGTGGCAAAAGTGAAGGCTGAGGCCGTGACACCTCGTGGTCTCTTGTCCATGCCCGGCTGGATGAAGGGAAAGGCCGAGAGTGGGAAGTCAGGGGTGCCCCGAGAGCTCAGAGGCGACCGACGGCGGCGGTTCCAGGTCAACTGGTGCTGGAAGCTTTGCTTTTCTTAGTTGGCCCAGTTTGGGGGTGGGGTGAGAAAAGGGGGGCAAGACAGGCGTGCGGGTGGGCGATTCTTAGCTCTCTGAAAGCTGGGGACACCTTCGATTATCCGCGCTGCCCCGAAAAAGTCCTAGACTCAGAGTCTGAGGGAGGAGATAAAGCCCTTTCTTCTCCCGGGGAAGTGCAGCGGAGCGCGATGGGGACCCGCTCAGTGGACTCGGCAGAGGCGGGAGCTGTCCTTATCAATTCTAGCTCATTTCCCTCATCCCGGCCCTGCCCGCTTCCCCGCTTCGCAAACTGTTGGTTTCCCTCGCCGCCACCCCGTTTTGCTAATTTTCAAGAGAAGCCTTTAAACCTGGCCAGAGACTCCTTCCACCCACACCACCCAGCCACCCCGACCCCCTTCTCCCTGCACCTTTGCTATTTCAGAGCACGGAAGTTCAGACATCTAGTTCCCCTTCCAGTGCGGGGCGGCACCGAGGATGACTGGGGGCAAGTTGGGGTGCCAGGCTGGATTTAGGGCAGGAAACTAGAGGGCAGGAGGGGTTGGTGTGGACCGGTCTCCCTCTCAAGCACCGGGAGCAGTCGCTTTAACTGGAGGAACTATGAGAAGTTCAAGTTAGAAGGCAGGTGTTGGGGGAGGGGTGACAGCGGTGGAGTGGGGGTGGGGTGGGGGCGCGGTCCGGTGCGGGGGGCCTCTGTTCCGCACTCAAACGGATTTTGGGTAAGCATAGCATTCCTGCGACCCCCGGGGTTCAGCTCCAGAGGTCCCCCACTCTGGCACCCCCACTCCCCCAGCCCTGGAAGTACTTCTCTAAAAAGTCTGTGCCGCCCGCTTCTAGGTGGTAAGAGGCCGGGGAGGGGGAGGCCAGGTGAAATCCACACGCCGAGCCCTTAATCTGTAATTGCACCTTTCAGGGCTGAACAGGAAAGGACCCTCTGCCCGCGTCCCGCCGCGCGCCCACCGGGACCACCGCCGCCGCCGCCCGGCTCCGAGGGACCCGCCGGACCTGCCCCTTCCGCTGCGGCTCACTCTGCCTTGCCCGGCGCCGCTTCTGGATCGCCGGCTACTCATTCCTACCAGACTCGGCTGGCGCCTTTCCACTCACTTTCCCATCCTGTTCCAGGTGGACCCTAACCTCCCTCCCCCGGCAGCAGCCCCCGCCCCCAGAGCTCGGGCTTGTGGGGAAACATTTGAGTCTTCCCTGGAAGTGGCCCCGGTCATACCTCTCTCTAGCTCTCCCCGCTTCGTTGTCTCGCCCCCCCCCCCCCCGGGGGGGTCCTAGCCTTTTGCCTTCTTGTTCTCCCCCTTTTCTTCCACCCCCATCTGCTTATTTCTTGCAATGGGAGTTTTATTCTTTATAAGCGTTTGCCACAACCCCCCCATAAGTCTCCCCCAACCCCACAACAACCGGAAAGACAAGGAAAATACAGGCAAGGTAGACCCAAGGCCAGAAACTTACCTGCTGTCAGCCAGCTGCAAAGTCAGGGCTCACTTAAGCTCCCCCCAAAATCAATTGTCCTTCCTTTTTAAAGGTCTGCTCTCTCCTTGGGAGGGGAACACACCTTCTGGCTCCCAACTCCAGGCAGTCACTCTGTACAATTTATTTTGTCGTACATCATTTGATCACCATGAATTAGCAACAGCAAGAAAATATAGGAGAGGGAGAAAAGAGAGAAAGAGAGAGGGAGAGAGAGAGAGGAGAGAGGGAGAGAGAGAGAGGGAGCAGAGCTTTCTGCAAGAGAAGAAGAAGAAAAAATGTACGTGTGACAAATTATGCTACCAAGAAACAACACATCATTATCCTTGGGCCTGGGGCTCAGTGAGTCGTAACGAGAGTAATAGGAAATCCACGGTTGGGGAGAGAAATGGTCGTGCTTGGCCAGTAGAGAGAGACCATACAGGGGGATGGATGCTGGAGAGACTCGCAAAATTATGGCTCAAGGCTATTGTAAAAATTGTCGAGCGTAAATGACTGCGATTTCAAACATCTTTGGAAGAAAGAAGGGGAAAAAGCGAGCCCCCCCCCCTCCCTCCCTCTCCCTCTCTCTCCCTCTCTCTTCTCTCTATAAAGAACCGTCAAGTTTTAGTGCGCATTGCTAATTAGTCAATTTCTCTCTGCCTTCACAGGCTGGCGACTTCGCTGCTGAGCTGAAACTGCTAATTTCTGTGACCAGCTTTTTTCTTAGCTGTGATCTGGATGAATGAGTAGCTGTCTCACAGAGATGACAAAAATAAACTCTAATCCCCCCCAAAATTTCCACTACATCTTTCTCATGCATAGATTTATGATCTTCAAGCGCTCTGTGCAGTATGCAAACTTTTTTGTGTCTGTGTATATGCTGTTGTTTGCAGCTTCCACAACATCGGTATGCTGGCTTTTCCCTCCCACCCCCAGCCCCCACACACTCTCAAATGCAGGAGCTGTCTGATCTCCAAGTATGCTAGGATGCCACTTTAGCCTGTCTTGGTATCTAGGGTGTGGGACTGACTTGGAAGATTCCAGTCCTTGCATAGGAGGGCTGAGGACACACATCAGGGGTGGGGGGAAGTCCGGCTGGGAGAACAGAGGACAGGACTTTGATTTTTCTCTCTGTTCTATTCAAGCTTTATGATCTTGTTGGAAAACATTTTTTTCTCTTATTGTTTTTGTCCGGTTAAACAACCTCTTTTGAAGTTCACACATAAGAGTAAAGAAACCATGCTTTTATTAAAGCGTTATCATATTGTCAGATTTGTATTTCAATTAAGAGTCTTTGGTTTGCAGAAGCTAGTATTAACTGTTAGGGGACCCAGCTGCAATTTCACAGTTGTAACCTTTCAACTTCAGGGCTCACTTGATAAATAAGGACCATCCCATAGGGCTCACATTGTTGACCCTGCTTAGCATTCAGAGTGAACCTCAGCCTGCTTCTAGAACCTTAGCTGCATCAGAAAGACATGAGCAGTCTGGTAGAGGACGTGTTCTCCAGACTTATCTCATATGTATAGTACCCTCATTTAAGCTGTCATTGGGAGTTGGAGGTGTCCAAGAAACACTCACCCACCCCCCTCACACACACTGAAGGGGGCAACAGAAACAGAAAGGTACACCCCTGAATAAAACAAATATCAAAGAAAACTGGATATGAATTGAATTGAGTTTTGTTTGTCAATAAATACAGATTATGATTCACTCTGATGTGCTCTGGTAGTAAATTTGTTAAAATCTATTACCCAAGCATTGTCTTTTTACACACCCCCTTTGATCTGTGAGAGATGGAAAGACACCTGCTTAAGTGGGGGGGTGGGGAGCTGAAACTTTTGAGACTCAGAAATAGGGGGTTTCCCAGCTAGAATGATAACATTAGCTTGCATATGGGATATTTATTCAAATAAATGAAGGGGAATGAACCAAAGCCCCTTCAACGGCCCTTTGCTGTCCAGGTTCCTGGGTTAGCTCAGAGTTACACTTACTTATTCGGATCCAGCTGAGGTCGGACATTCTCCTCTCACCCTTAACAACAAGACTGAGTCATAGTAAGGCTAAAGACAGACTCTCTCTGTCTTCATTGTCACCATTGTTCTTTAGAACAGGGACAGAAAGAAAGCAGATTCAAGATATCTGGTCCTACTATTTCCAAAATTCTTTTCATTTTTGAACTTCCCTTATGTGAGTTCACTAACGAAGGCACGTGATTGTAGCACAGTGCTTTGGGGGGGGGTTCTATGTCACCCACAGTGTTCTAAGTATCTGAGTGCTAGCCAAACTCCCATGCATGCAGAGCTCATGCTCCCCTTATGTTTCCTTTGGTCTTTTATGGACTTCAGTAGGTCCTTGGAACTCAACCCAACAATGAATAATGACAGATAACTTAAATTACAGCTTTCTTCTTATTGCATCACAAAGGAATTAAAGTATATTTTTTTAGGGATCAAATTCCATCTTGAATTTCTTAGGTTTTTTTTTCTTTTTGTTATATATATATATATATATATACCACTAATTGTGAGTGTTAGAGTCTTTATGCATCCCAACAGCATAAAAAAACACATTTTAAGAATCTGTCTTTATCTATCTTTTGTGTCTATGTGTCTGTGATTTTGTTAATCTAATATCTAGCTGGAGGAGGGAAAAAGCAGAGGTGAGGATTTCTCAGTCAGTGAGAACCTGGTGTTGAGATGAAGTGTTTGGCACATATTCTCCTGCATCTTAAAGTTTCCAAATTTGACGATATTTAAATTTTCAGAGGGAAAATAATAATCAAAGCTCTTCTATACGCAACCAAAAGACTCTCCCCTGTACTCTGTGCACAAATGAACATGTATATCATATAAACCTCGCGTCTCCAATGTCCTGCATAGGCTTTGACTGCAATGGTTGCTGGACCCACAAATACGATGACACTATTTACAATAAATCCTGTTATGAAAGATTCAATTTACAGCAATCAGATGTTAGCTACTAAGCGATTGTAAGTATTTGAATTTTGTCCTACTCCAGTGTTCAACATACAGAAATTGCATCTGTGTGTTTGATCTATCCTGCTGAGCACTATCAGCGGCTTGCGACTCTGCCACGATTGTTTCTAAAATGGCAGGAAGGACGTGACTCTTCAAGAGCGCTCTGCAGGGTAGATTTTACATGGCAGAAGAGGAGCAAGGATTGTCTTTGAAAAAACAACCGTAATAACAACATACACACAAACACGTAGTCATCTAATCTAAACAGTTTTCCTACTTTGGGAGAATTATCAAAATTATTCATCAGAGATTTTGCATTAAATTATGTATCGTGGAAAGATCCTGAAATAACCACCACTGACTTCTTAAGAGAGCTGTCCTCAGCTCTGAGCACTCCGGGTGGCCTTTGAGGTGACAGAGAGCCAGGCTTAGGGGAGCGCCAGTTGCCCTCAGCCATCTTATTGGACTGGGTGAACAAGGAATATTCAAGCCATGTTTGGGTGCCTAACATGAGGTGCTGCTATGCTGAAACTCTTGTCCTGCCTCTTGACTTTTCTAATTCCAATTCTTGAGGGATCATCAAAATGTTTTAACATCAGTGCCTGGCCACCTCTGTGTTTCTTCTAGTAATAAATACTGCTTCATGAGATCTGACCCTTGAGATTGCTGCCGTGTGGAATGCCATGCATATATGGGGAAATGATGTTCCATGTTATGGGTGAAATGAAATTCAGTAAAGGAAGGTCCACACAGCTTCCTCAAAATGAGAGAAAGGAAAACCCAAACCCAGTTCATAACTGTCCAGGTTTTTAAAATTTTAAATCCTGGTTAGATATGGTCTGAGATACTCTAAGGTCAGCAGCACCACGTAGTTTATTGGAGAGCAAAGAGCTCAGAGATACAGTAAAATCAATGGTGCTGTTGGCTAGCATTTTCCCCAAAGCCAAAGGTTTACTATTGCTCCAAGGATTTGGTCTTGGCGCTAGACATTCTAGTTCCAGGTATGCCTGCAGTTCTAGCTCCTCTGGGGACATTGTTCACTGCTAACTGTTCTCTGGATGCTACTGACTCATGTGTAAAGCACTTATGGCTAGGCTTTGTTCTTAGAAGAGGGTTTGAGCCCTACACATAGAACTCTCAACCAGCTCTCTTTTCTGAAGGCTGCTTCAAGCAGTAATAACCAACTTATTACTTATTGAGTTGCTTATTGAGTTGGTGATCTATGTGGTGGACGCTGTTATAAATCCTTTGGGTGTTTTGGTTTCTTAATCCTCTTGCTAATCCTGAGTTTGGTAGATTGCAAATGCATCCCTGCCTCCATGAGGACTGGATCTCTTTCCCATTCTCTTGTTAATTGCTTAGACCAATCGAATGTGCCAGAAGCGAGGACTTTGTGCTGACTCTAGGCCACCTTAAGAAACATTGTATGCTTTTAACTCTCCCTTGTTCAAGGCTTTCGCTTTAACAATAGCCATGTGAAAAAGTCCAAGCTAGCTTGGTTGGAAGCTGAGACCCAACATGAGCCAAATATTCTCCAGCTCACGCAGTAACTGCATACAGATGCAAAAATGAGCCAGAGCAAAGTAACAAATGGAGGATGGCCTGGAATGTTTGCCCATATAACCCTGAGCTAAATGGAGCCATGTTGTTTCAAGTCATTACTATTTGGGGTGATTGGAGATCAGCTAGTGAGATCAGCTAATAAGGACAGATACCATTATTATTTTAATGATGATAATCCAAGATGGAGAAGGAAGACAAAAATTTCAGAATCTTCCATTTTCAAAGGTAGACTTGAGATTATAGCCAGTCCATCCTGATTTGACAGGTTAGCCAGTCTACTACATCAAACACTGCCTCCCAAGAACGTTCAGTATTTATTTTCTTTTTGTCTTTTCTCCATCAAGTATGTATCAAGGATTTATTACATACCAAATATTGAATACAGAATAGTGAATAAAACTGATTCTTGTTCTCAAGGGGCTAACATTCTAATAGAGAAAACAGGGAAAAGAAAGGAGACAAAGTAAGTGAATAACTAAAATTAATAATTAACACATGTATAAGAAACTAGGATAACAAAGAAAAGAAAGCCCCTAACTTCTTCTTAGTACTATCCATGTATTTTTGCTGTTTATTATTTATTTAATTTTTCGTTACGTATTTAAAGAATCGCAACCAAGCTACAATCTTCAAAAAAAGAGCATCATGATTGGCAAAAGCTTCCATCGTTCATAGCTCCGTATTATATGCAAAACAGTTGCCCAATAAACATGTTACTGCATTTTTAAAAGCAAACTTTCAAATTTATCAGAGAGGAATAGAGTGTGTGTAACATTTTACAGTTACAGAGATTGGTTAGTACTTCTAACCAGAGTGGCATTAGTCAAACTTTTGACTGTATTGATCTGTTGTCTTACAGTTTAAAAAAGTCTGTTATCTCATGAAACTTTTGCTTCAACACATGCAGAGGCACTCGTTAGGCCTTCAGGAATGTGTCAGTCACCCAGCAAACACTTTGAGATTTTAGGGAACACTTACTCCTAAGACAAAACTCAGTGCTGCATTCTGAGGTTTTTGGGGAGGAACCCCCATGGATGTGGCATTTTGCATTATATAACTTAGCATTTTAACACCCTCAGAAAGACAATTATTACAGTGCCTAAAGCAAAGAATTTTATGAACTTTTGCAAAAATGTGTTATATAGAACAAATACTTGCTTGGAGACTGCTGTATGGGTGATTGCTCAATAAATAAACACCAAACCAAACAACAACAACAACAAAAATCCAAAGCAACTATGACAAAAACTCAGCACAGGTAGGGTATTCTGTCTGTTTTCCTTTTATTTCTTCTCTGCCTTGTGTTCATCAGTTACTAGGTAGAAGATAGGATACATCTGCTTTTCATTTGGTAGCAATAATTTATGATTCTATTCCAAGGGTGACTGATCCCTTTAACAAAAGTACCACTGTTCTTTGACTTTGATCTTTAATGTTATATGTTTTACATGTTTATTGTATATTTAAAACCGTCACTCCTTTACCTTTGACAACATTGATGGCTCATATTTGTCTTATGTAATTAAACCTTTAAAAAAAATAAAGCTACTTACTATTAATGGTGGGATGCTAAGCCTATTCCTGACTCTGAAAAGTAGCCTGTTGTCAATTCATCTTTATGCCAGTGACCAGGGCTTCTGACTATCACATCACTGGTGACTTTACACACTTCATTTTTCTTTTCCAGGTTTTGTCTCAGTTTCCCTGTGTGCGGGGCTACATAGAGCGTTTCCTTCAGCTCCCTACTCCTCTTGGGCTAACCTGAAGATGAGTAGCAAAACAAAACAAAGAACAAACAAGCAAACAAAAAAACAAAAAAACAGTCCCCAAAGGTCAGTCGCGAGCTTTCCTAGTAAAATGAGCTAAAACTTTGGGCTGAGAGAGAGTGAAAAGTATATTCATTCTCTCCTGAAAGGAGGCTGGGGGTCAGAGGCAGTCACCCAGTCACCATCTTAGTATTAGGTCATGTACAGAGAGCAGATCAAGCATGTGGGTGTATTCTGAGTGTATAAGCAGACGTCATGTATTTCCCAAATTTGTTTTACATATATCAAAAGCTTTCAAAGATTGTAGAATATTTTACTGTAGGCATGCTAAATTCTGAATGCTCATTAAATAGCTCTCATAACCAGGACAACATACTTTTATCATAAAGAATTATCACCCAAAGTTG